TGGACACATCATTATTATGGTCAGGCAATCATATTAAAACCATAAAATAAATACCCTAAAAAATCACTGCAGTTACACTTTAAATGACAGTGATTGCAACTACATCTTGTTTTGTACCTTTTTCTTGAAAGTGCTAAACAAATGATAACAACTAATTCAATCATTCAATAGAGCATTACTAGGTGGAGGTCACCCACTTTGTTTCATTTGAAAATATGATTTTGCCTCTCTGTAATGATCAATTTACTGCTAAGTTTGTGAGGTTTGTTTTGTACCCTTAACTTAAAAACTAAATGGTCTATCACATTAACTATCACACTATTCTAATGCTTAGAACATACCGGAGGTCACTGGCACACTCTCAATCATGTAGATTATAAATTACAGAAAATATACAATTAAACATGTAATATGGTGATTAATGATTGACAGTGTTGATCAACAATGAAGTCAAGCTGCAAACATCATGATTGCCACAGCAGACTACTTGGGCAAGTAGAAAGAGTGTACCTCTACATTGTTGAAGGGTTATCTGTACAAAATAAGACAATATGCAACCAAAAACTGATGAAATGTATGCCTACCTGCTTCACTTCTCCAGCCATTTTCAATTTTACATATGATTAATTAGAGCAAATTGACTTACATTAATACGGTATTGGTAACTAGCATTTCCAGCCGCGAACAGAAGTTTCCAATCCCTTTCATTTACTCTAATATCTATGATATTTCTTAATATTAAATGAATGCAACAAACTCAATGAATACACTGCTATAGTCAATAAATAATTATAAGTAGGTCAATCAAGTCATTTTGATCGATTAATTAATGAAATTATACATACACCTAACATATCAAAATATGCCGTGAATACTAACATATCAGTATATTGCCCAGCCCTCTCCTTAAGGTTCATTCTGGTATGAATGTATTAGTGTGTGGTCCTAATGGGTGTGGCAAGAGCTCTTTATTTAGAATATTAGGAGAGGTCAGTATCTTACATGTACACTACATATAAAGCATTTTAATGATTATTTTACATTGTATATAATATAAATGTACGTATTATGCATCATTTCTGTAATAAACATGTTCTTTTCATCTACATGTACATGTTCTTCAAAATGTGCATGATCTTTATATTACTGTATTGCCTGGTTTGCCTCAGTATTATTATATTCAATAATAAATTTTGTTTTTTATCTTCTACTTTTTATCTGTAATTAATAAATTATTTTTTGGAAATTAAGAAATCACCTTTTTCCCCACTGGTTGCAATGGTAAAGCCAGTATTCATTATGTACTATCATAACTTCCTTTAGTCACAAGATCTTTGAGTATATTTAAGGTTTCCTCACTTTTTGTGTCTAGCTGACCTCCTTTAGTCTTTCTCTCCTCCTTCCACCTTCTTCATTTTGTTTTGTTGTTTCATCTGGTCATTAGGACTCTCTCTCATCACTCATTCACTACCTTCCCTTCTCCTCCTCTTCCTCTACTTTGTTTTACATTCTCATTCATTAATGTGAATTCACCTTTACTACTGGTTGTTATAATAAAGGGACGTACTATCATAACTTCCTTTAGTCACGAGACTAT